ATGTAAATATAAAGGCAGGCATTGCCAAACATAATAAAGGCTTTCTTATAAACACTCTCTCTTTTTAGATACTAATTACTTAAAAGTTAATGGATAAATCTGAAATCCAATCAGATATTTTAGATAGCATGGCTAAGCAAGAGGCAAAGGTATATTGTTCAAAAAATATGTGGAACTAATTTCATATATTCCTGAATATCATATATATGATTGAATAAATTTATGTTAGTTATTATGTATTAGAATTATTTGAATCATGATTTCTAGTTTATTAGCACACTGGAAACAGGGAGAAAACTTCTATACTATGTCATCCTAATGTTGAAACCGGTAGGCGAGGAAAGCCGTTTAGGGGAGTAAACAAAGTTGAGGCGCTGATAAGAAGGAAGTATCCGCTAAAGTACGATGCTAGTAGTGACAGGAAAACATGATAAAGATAATCTAGTTCATAATGATCTAATATGAATTTAATCAATTATGAATGTGATAGGAAGGAATAATTTGAAAATAAAAACTGCATAGAAGACGAACATGACTACATATATGCATGACGAGATGGTAAAAACTATGAAACTTTAATCTTATATATACTTAACGGTATAGAGATAATTGAATTAAGAAGAATCATATGGGAAAAAATATTTGATGACTACGAATTAGTAGATATATTAAATCAAGAATGGTATGAAATAGATTTACAAGATCTATATTTAGATAATGAAAGAATAGAATGGTACGATTTAGAAATAAATTCAGATTAAAATGAATTACGAATATTTACAATATTGGATAGAAGCTATGGAAGATATAAAACTATTAGAACAATTAATGGAGGAAAATTTATATATGTACCAAAGAACCCAAGATATGTTATATCTAGAATATATCATAAATAATATTAAAGAAATATTCAGATTAAAACAACTATCGAAAGAATATTACAATAAATATTACTACATATTACCATGAATTTAACACTACCAAAAAATAATATTAAAGAGATATCAAGATTAAGACACTTAGCAAAAAGATATTATAATAAAATCTTTAAAATAAGTTACTCACCTACCACACTACCACCTACCACACTACTGCTTCTATGACTTCCCCAACTACCAGTTCCGCACCGAAAAATGGTATCAGAGCACACACATTGCTTATTCCCTCTTTACGAAGTTTAAAAAAGTAACAAAGACTTTTGAATCTTGCAGCAGTTTTTGCAAAAAAAAAAAATACTTTTTTAAAAAAATACTTTTTGAAAAATATAATTAGAGACTCTTTTAAAAAGTTTAACCAAACATTAATTGTTGCTCAAAAGTATTTTTTAAAATTTATCGGTCAAACACGATTTTTCACAAAACGCTCACTGTTTGTGTTTGACCAAACTTTTAAAATTATTTCTAAGTATATTTTCTCAAAAGTGTTTTCGAAAAAGTAATTTTGGGGGGAATTTATTGATCAAACACGATTTTTCTCAAAAGTATTTTCCAAAAAAGTAATTTTGAAAAAAAAAGACTCATCCATATCATTAATTATTTGACTGTCATACGACAATAAATAATAATCATACTCGATGAAAACATCATACATGTCATATGGTCCATCTATCATTATTAAGCAGAGAAAACAAGATTTTCCTTTGCATACATGTGATGTGGTTCATCTATCACCAGATTTTTACAAAGATATTTTGTTATTGATAAGCGTAGGGTATTAGTTATTTAAAGATTTAATTATTAATGTACTTATTATTTCAATGTACTCTGCTAAAATATATATATAAATTTACTCATAATCTATGTCTATCAATATTAATTAAGATAATTTTACTAAATAATTGATTTACTTCCTAACCAATTAAATAAATTCATTAAAGAAGAAATTAACGTTAATTAGTAATATCACTAGACAAAAGTCATCGTCTCAATATATTGGTGGGTAGCACACCATTCAAACACTAAAATATCTTCCCACTTTATAGGGATCCTTTCTTTCTCTATTCTCATAATTAGGGTTGGTGTTCCATATTCGGTTCGGGATTTTCAAATTTTGAATTTGATAATTCGGTAATTGATAGTTAAAATTTGATACTAAATATCAAAATTTTAAATTTCAGTTTGGTAATTCGATAATTCGTAAATTAAACTTCAGTTCAGTACGGTATTCGATAACACCATATTGAAGTTGTAGCCGATTGTATTACAAAGTTAATACTCTTTCTCCAATTATTTCTATTTTTTATGTGGAGACACGATATAATAGAATATCAACAAGTAAGAAGACATTAAAAAAACAAATCGATACAACTAAAAGACATGTGTGTTTGAGTTGTTTATGTATATTATTTAACTTTCTCTTTGAACTTATACTAATTAGCAATGAACATCTTAATATATGACCTTTATTAAGTAAAGGGTAAAGGGTCAAATATGCTCCTAAACTATTCGAAAAGGTCTAGATATACCCCCGTTTAAAGTTTGGCTCACTTGTGCCCTCGCCGTCCAACTTTTCGTCTAGATATGCCCTTATGGGCGTTAAATGCCAAATGGAATTGCCACGCCATTTTTACATTACCACGTGGCATTTATATTAAAGGGAAAAGAGTCAAATATACCCCTAAACTATTCGAAAAGGTCTAGATATACCCTCCTTTTAAATAAACTACCCGACCCATTTTCAACAATTTTTAAAAAGTATTGTTCAATAGGTACACCCCTTAATTGATGTGTCTAAGTGAAATATGAGGACAACTTTAAGTGGCTGTGAATGACTTAAGCACACACACATATATATATATATATATATATATATATATAATATCCATACATTACATCACTCTTTATATAATATTAAATTTTCTTGTCACTTGTGATGCTCACATGGCCACATTTGGCCAAACACATATACAGCCCCTTAAACTTGCCCTCATTTTTCATTTTGGCACTTCAACTTAGCCTTGTTCCATTTTAACCCTTGAACTTCATTTTTTCTGTTCCATTTTAACACGAAATACTATTTTTATGATTTCTTTATTTTATAT